ATCACAGACTTTTGTCCTCATAATTCTCTAAAGCTCCCCCACCAACTAACAGTGTCTGGTGCTGAAGAATGATGTAAATCTGTGTCCACTTCTGTGTCAAGCGGTGCCTCTCCCTCTCATACATATAGTTTAACAGGACATAGTAGGCAAGATACATGGCACAGCCACATTGCACACCCCTGCTGCTCTCAGTGTTGCACGGAGGCCGGAGACAAATCGATGTGTTGTTTGCTTTCTATTTTACGTATCACCTCCTCTCATTATCCTCATCTATTGTTCCAGAGACGCATGCTTGAGACTTTTCCTGCACTGTCTTCCATCATTACATCCAGAATCAGCTCTTCTCTTTAATGATTTTAATTGCCAGCGTTCAAAAGTTTCCTTGCATTCTTTTCTCGCATCTGACTAACTTTCTGCATGACTTTGCATCTTGGCTGCTCTCTTTTGATCTTATCTTTTGCTGCTTTTCTGTAACACTCTTTTTTTTTTCTAATAAGGTAAACCAAATGTTAATTTATCCAACATACTTATCAGTTCCCATGCAAGAACCTGTTCCTAGGTTTGTTTCTCTTCCACATCTTTTGAATAAATTAATCTTTTATGGAGCAGAATATGATTAGGCTCCCCACCCCATCTTCCATCAGCTCTCTCTCTCTCTCTCTCACTGTTCATCTTCGAATGAGGTTGATTTGGCTTTTTTTCCACCAAGGTGTTGGTAGAATCAGGTTCTTTGGTTTTAAGCTAAAGGGCAAGGTTGTACAGACAACTTTTAGACAAATCTCCACATTCCACCAAACTACCATCTCATGCATCTTTACTGGACAGAACCTCCCATTGCTTGATACTCTGAATCTAAGTAATTTTCTTTCTGAGCAGCTTGAAGGACCCAGAAGTTCTCATTTTTACAAGTATGGTACAGAGATTCCATGGGAAGCATTGTTTCCACACTGGCCCTCTCTCCTCTTCTGCTTGCTATCATCCTTGTGTCCCAAGATATGGTGCAACCCCTCTCCTCCCTGGAAAGATGGGCTCCCCCTGCTGCATGGGAGAAAAGGGGATGTCGGTGGAAGAGAAAAAGCAAAGACAATGACCTAAGTGTGGGGGAGCTCCTCAAGAGAAGAGTACATCTGTGCCGGTGGCCCACTGACTCTCCTCCCCAGCAGTCTTGCCTTGAATCAATTTCCGAGATCTGGGAATGAGTGAGTCCTGGCTTATTTCTCAATTCAACCCATTCATACTGTAATTAGGGATAATTCCTTAAAAAGCCGCTAAATTATTCATTAGAGACTTAAGTTTCTAGTACAGCTGTAACTTTGCATATTTTTAAAATGCTTGGATTTACTTTTCAATGAGAAAAACACTCTGTTTTCTCTGTGTCTGCTCTGCTTCACTTTGCTGAAGGAACCATGGGTCCTGAGCCAAGGAAAGAGGGAAAATTCCACAACACTCTGTAAAGAGCCAGGGCTTACACACCACCCAGTTCCAGTGGGATAATGGGGCTCACACTTGCTGCCCCATCCCTGCCCCCTGCCTCTCTCTATCTTCATCTGTGGTGTGGCCACACTCAGCCACGTGTGATGACCAGACACAACATTTCTCATGTGTTTGTCTCTTGGCACATTCTATGCCCTTTGTTTGGAATCCCATTCCCCTCTCCTGCCCTATTCAAGTTCTGCTAAGTCTTGGAGATGTGATTCAGGTGTCATCACCTCCCCCCGGGGCTGGGCCCTCTCCTGATGATCCCCATCCTAAGACTCTCCTCAAAGGTCCACAGAAAGCATACAAGATCCATGTTGCATGATATCATCTTCTGACTTGCCTGTTCCCCACTGGAGCATGACCTCCTTCTCAGCACCCTGCATGGCCGGCAGGAGCGTGGTCCAGGGAATGAAGCAAGAGTATGATATTAACCATTAGGTTCCAGGATGAAAAGCAGCCAATGTGCTTTTTACAGATTTGCATATAATGGCAGAGCATCCCTAGTACCTTCAATATAAGTGAGTCTAATATAGATCAAAATGAAGTAAGGTCCTTTATAAATATTTATTAGGCTTCAGATGACTTATCTAAATTCACAGCTATGCTAATATTACATGAGACACTGTTGCTGTGCAGTCAGCTAACAACACATCGGGTTGTGAGATATTAACATGAGTGTCCAAGGCCACCCAACATCGCCATCCCTGCCTGTTTCAATGTCTAATCCAGTTCAACAAATGGCCGTGATTAGTCAAACAAAGCTGCTATCTATGTCTTATCTTTGGAGCTCATGGCACATCTTGACCTTGTCCTGCGTACAAAACATGACTCCAAAAGTGATTATCACACAAAATTACTACCCACCCAAGAAAGGAAAATGAGCTTCGCTCACCAGACCTATTTAAAATGAGGGGGTTTAACTCATTCTTCTGATTCTTTTGGAGTTCTGATGGTGTTCCTTTGATTAATTGAAATCAGATCAATAAAACATATCTATGATATAAAGCCATTAACTTATGAATAGAACAATGTATAACAAGGTTGATCAACTTAAAAAATCAACTATATGTCATATTTATACATGATATATTAATATAAGATATGCAATGTTTTATATTTTAAATGTATAACTATATAATAAAAATAAATGTAATATCTAAATTTATTGATCTATAATAGGATAAAAAATTTAATAACAATTTTTGAGAGAGAGAGAGAGAGATCCTGAGTGGGTGAGCAGGTGGTGGGGGTGGGATAGGGGCAGAGAGAGGGAGAATCCTAAGCAGTTTCTGTGCCCAGCAGGGGGCCTGACCCAGTGCTTGATCTTATGACCCCAAGATCATGAACTGAGCTGAGATCAAGAGCCCACTGCTCAAGCCGCTGTGCCACCCAAGCGCCCCTTCATGATTACTTTTACCAGTATTCTGAAACTTGACCTGTAACATGGGTCAGTGCATTTTTATTTTCTTAACTCTGGTGAACCCACAACCACGTCTCTTCTTTGTTAGCTGACCTGGAGCTGACTTTGTCTTCTGCAGTTACGAGCTCTCTTCCCCGCTTCTCTGTTAAGCAGTTAGTAACACACAAGCCACCCCCTCAATACCTTGTGTGTACACAGGGCATTTAACACCTGCTTTCCACAACAGTAGTTCCTAAAAATTCTGAAATTTATTTAAAAAATCAAAATTTTCACAAGGTTTGAAAACTCCCATCTCAAACACATGCATTTAACTGTTATTAAATTACCTCTAGGGACAGACACATTTTTCCCCAAAAGACAAGTAAAAGTGTAAGTCTCATATTCTTATGGGTTTTAAGTTAAAAAAAAAAAACAAAAACAAAAGCAAACCAGGGAAAAATAGAAGCAGAGATTTTGCAGATAGTGGACCAGGTCAGAGTGATTATTCTATTATCAACCATGTTAGTGAGAAATATTATTTTGTTTTGTCCTTTAAAATAGTCAAAAGTCAAAGGTAAGATGAACATAAATCTGCTTTGAATAAAGTATGAGATGTTGGCCACACAATAAACAATATCCATACGAGAGAAAATCTGTTAGTTGCCACGAGCGTCCTTAACTATGTATTTAGCACGTTCATAGTAAAGGTTTTCTTTTTTTTAATTAATTAATTTATTTATTTATTTGACAGTGAGAGACACAGTGAGAGAGGGACCACAAGCAGGGGCAGTGGGAGAGGGAGAATGTGCTTCCTGCAGAGCAGGGAGCCCAATGTAGGGCTCGAGCACAGGACCCTGGGATCATGACCTGAGCCGAAGGCAGACTCTTGACAACTGAGCCCCCCAGGTGCCTCCACAGTAAGGGTTTTCTAAGAAGAGGAGTAGGTATACCGAGAAGTGTCTCTGTGATACTCAAGGCTGGTACGTGAGCCAGCGGAAGTCATGGAGTCCTTACGTGATACCTGTAATCTGATCATCCTGTATGGTCATTGAATTAAGTAGGAAACAGGACCATCTTAGCCTAAAATGTCTATAAATGTATGCGTGATATGTACTCAGATTTTAACGACCCAGTAATGCACCACTACAAGGACAGAAGGCAAGTTTCAGTCAAGAACCATCAAAGCCTGTGACAAACACGAACACTTGAGCTGTTCCTCCTGATTTGTTACTAAACAAAGTCTCTAGCAAACTAGAACATGCAAGGTAGGCAGAGGGAGAAGGAAATAAATATATGTCCTAAACTGGCACGGTGTGATCCACAGGAACACGTCCTTGTTACTGAATTTTACAGACGCACATTGAGAAAAGCTTGGTAGGTAGGAGATTACAGGAAGATAATGTAATTCTGAAGTCATAAAATATTCCATAATGGAAGGCGTTGCAAGATCATCTTGGCATGGACAGTGCTCGCTTTTATACTATGATCTATGTTAAGGTGATTTTAAAACTCAATTTAAAAATTCATAAGATGATTTTATTCTCCTGTTGCTACATAGGTTTATTATACAATCTTTCAACCAGAGATTATTTCATGAGAGTCTGTTCCAGGACAAATGTTCTTTCAGGCCACTAGGCTCCAAAGATAGAACAAAATCCATCTTCCGAACAGTATATTTTTATAGGTCCTTCCCAATAGCACCCCCAGCACGCAGGCGAAACTCACAAGCATCCTGCAGGTGCTCCGTCCTGCGGACCAGGGAGCTTGGCTACATGAGCCCTACCCCACACGAGGAGCGTGCAGGCAATGACCTGTCTGATCCATTAGTACTCCTCTTAAGAGCAGAAGACTCAGCCCGAGCCTAAAAACTGAGCACTGAGAACTGGGATTCTATCAAAATCCCCTCAGCCATACCTTCATCTTAAAAACAGATTCCACAGTCTAAAAACACGATGAATGAGCTACTCAACACCCGATTTCTTTATAAAAAGGAATCATGCTCATGAAAAAAAGTTACAACATGAAATAATCATTTTGCTAAAATGACAAATATAGTTTTCATACCTAAAACTAATTTATGACTAAAGCAGAAACAAAAAATAATATGTATTTGGGCACCAACCTGGTATTAGCTGAGGTGCTAACAGCCCCGTGGGAAGAGGCCAGGAGGCAGGAGCTGGTCTGGACAGAGACAGGGCGACTTGGTTTGCCAATAGATGAGGCTTTTCATGCCCACGGAACAACCTTGACTCCTCAGGATATATCCACGTTGAGTCCAGAGCAAAGGAATTATTAAAAAAGATCTGTCCAAAAATAAAGTGAGCATAACATGTAAGACAAGACCCATGATAAAAGCTAAACCCTGCTATAAAACAGTTCTCTTTCTGACATCAAATACTGGGGATTCTGTAAGTGGGACCCTCTAAAGGCATCATCCTAAACCCTGAAGATCCATGGTGCCGACAACAGTCACCTTCTAGATGAAGTCTCCTTGGCTGGTCTTCTACCACTGACATGCTTAATTGAGCCTAGCAGCCAGTCTACAAACGGAGGAATCCCTCAGTGAAGTAAATAGCATGCTATAGGAAAGATACCATATTACTTGCCTTTAGTTTTCAAGTAAACACAGTGTGGCCCTTAAATTTGAATCCAAAAGCTAAGATAAATCATCAGAAAGATGAACACTTAAAGCAATAACAGCAAGAAAAACCTCATAAAATTTGTACTTAAATTATACAATGTTTAAGACTAGATTTTGATCAATGCTTACAGATCTAAAAACTGAAAAAAAAATTTTCAAGTGGATTCTGATTCAGAAGTAGAAACTTTTTATGGCTCCGTGGAATCCAAATTTTTCAGTTAAAACAAAAGAACCCCCCACCTCTGCTGGTGTATTTTTTTTTATGATTTTATTTATTTATTTGACAGATGAGATCACAAGTAGGCAGAGGCAGGCAGAGAGAGGAGGAAGCAGGCTCCCTGCTGAGCAGAGAGCCTGACGCGGGGCTCGATCCCAGGACCCTGGGATCATGACCTGAGCCAAAGGCAGAGGCTTTAACCCACTGAGCCACCCAGGTGCCCCTCTGCTGGTGTTTTTGAACAGATTGACCATATTCTGAAAAGATTTATCTCTAGACCTAGGTATTGCAATTAGAAAACACACAATGTTTTCTGCTGTTATGGAAATGCCCAACAAATTAATAATTAATGGTCCATTCATCTAATTAAACTACTTGCATTTTACCTTACAATTGGGTATCCTTTTGTCTATCCAACTTTTCCCAACAGGAGGTGGGAGAGCAGACGGGCAGACGTGTGGGAAAATGGGCACCAGCTCCACAGTGGAAGAGGGAGAGAGTCCTATAGATGGAGAATGGCCACCGCACAGCCACTGAAACCCAAGAAAACACAAGGGAGTGCTCATTAGCGTAAACATATCAACTACTTTGTACCACAAGATGTTGGGATAGCTGCTTTAAGAAAATAATTTTAAAATATATGTATTCAATTAGGAGAGAAATTCCTCCTTTCAAGAGTGAAGAAAAACCATAAATATTCACAAATTTTAAAAATGTGTCAAAGCTTTCATATTGGAATCATCACAAAGCATCACCAACATTGCATTCTTCGATACTGGGGAAGAATTTCTAAGCACAAAGCCATGAGAATATGGTAAGAAATGGGTTTCTACTCTGAGATAATGAGAAACCACAATGGAGAGATGAAATGCTGGGTATTCCTTCTGTAATTCTGAAATTCTTTTCACAAGCAAGTAGGAAGCTCTATTTTATGATTATGCTTTCAACACAAATTCTTGTATTAATTATACTTATCACTTAAAAACCAACACAGCTAATAGTTTCAAAATAAAATTAGCTCAGGGGTTAGGATTCAAAGTTTCCCAAGGTTCACAAATGCAAATACACTCCAAGGCAGAGAAAATGTAAGTGAGCTTATCAGACAACTGAAGATCCCAACGCACAGAACAGAACAGCAACACTGAAGGGGGGCAGACAATTTAGGAGACACTCTCTCTAATTTAAATAACTGAGTCGTCATCAGTGGAGAACTAATAAGATTATTGTATGATGGTATGGAACACTTTGATATCTATTTGTTTTAAAATCGTAAAAGCTTCTTTGATCTTCCCGTTAATGTGAAAATATTCTTCTGGTTCTAAATATTGTTATTGAACAGAAAATATGTAGCAGAAAATATTTAAGAGATAAGTTTTTTTTTTTAGATTTTTCTGTTTAAATTCACACACACACACACACACACACACACACACAAATGCAGTGTTCTCTACTGAAAAAACTGTAGTTCCTTGACATTATACACCTCTAGTGGTAGGACTCTGATATAACAACCTTTTCAAAACACGGAAAAAGCTACCGACGTTTATTCAATAAAACCCAATATAAACTGCATCACATATCAAAATGTGATATCCAGCACCTTATATGTGATGTATCGTCAAGTCTGAAGACCAATTTAGGAGGAGTTTAACAACATCTTTTAGAAAAGCTCACAAGATAATATTGGAATTAAATTAATTAAATGCTGTATTCTAACACACCACTCATTTGAATATGCTAATGAGGACAATCTTGGGAATAAAATACATGTTATTCCCTGATTTAAATGCATCTGCATAGTTAGACAGCAAACAATGGGTCTTGCCGAAACCAGCCTGCCCTGCTCTGTTGCACCATTAATCAAAGGTACAGTCACTTTTTCTTTTTAATTCCACGTTTTAAACCCCAAACTCTTCTAGAGTGCAATACGGCATTAGCTAATTTAGTGGACTCAGGCTGACCTAGGTGGGAGGGAAAATCGCCGGCAATATTTCTCAGTATTAAAGACAGGATTTCCTCGCCGGCTTCCATTGGTTTGAATTCTCTTAAGCATTGTCCTGAGCCTATTCTAAAAGAAAAAGAAAAAAAAAAAAAGAAAGAAAGAAAGAAAAAGAAAAAAGGGGGGGGAGCCCAGATCAGAATCAGAAATAGCTCCTGATTCCCAGCTTGCTCTTCAAGTCTGGTAGAGACGGTAAAAGTATTAACTTCTCGGCGGTAAGTCAGCCACAGTACGCGGAGGCAACGCGGGGCTCCAGCGGCCGCTACTTCAGCACCGCGCTCTGGACAGCGACCCCGGCCCGGGCGAAAGTTGCGGCCAGGGCGGTCCCAGCTCCCGCCCTGGGGCGCGGACTCCCCAGCGCCCGGCCGGGGGGCCGCGAGGACGTGCCGCGAAAACTGCCGAGAGGCAGAGCGGGACGTCGAAGCATGAACTTTGTTGCCGATGCATGGCTGCCAGGCTGCGCCCTGATGGCTCGAGGAGCCGAGCACCACCGCGGGGAGGGCAGGGCGCGAGCCGCAGGGCCAGGGCCGCCCGGGGGCCACGCGAGGGCCGCGCCCAGGGGATGGAGCGGGGGTGGGGGGCAGCCGGCGACCCCCGGATCCCGGGGCCGGGGACACGTTACCTGCCCGTGGAGCAAGGGGTAGTGGTGCGCGGAGGCGGCGGCGGCGGCGGCGGCGTGGTCTGGCGCAGAGGGCAGCGGCAGCAGCGGCAGCAGGGGCTCGCCGGGGGCTTGCCAGCCGGGCAGCCCCGGGAGCAGCGGGCCGGCGGGGGGCTGCGCCGAGGCGAGCAGCACGGGCGGGGGCGCGACCCCGGCGCCCAGCCGGAGCAGCCCGGCCGAGCCGGGAACCATCCAAACCCAGGGCGGCGGCGGCGGCGGCGGGTCTGCATTCATCGGCCAGAGGAGAGGCTGCCGCCGCCGGGGCTGCTGCTGCAGCTGCCGCCGCCGCCGCTGGAGCCTGGCGCCCACCAGCATCCTGCATCCCCGCGCGGGCGGCGGCGGCGGGGGCGGCGGGGGCGGCAGGCGCCCGAGGTGCGGGCCGGCGGCGGCGCGGGCTCCGGAGCCAACTCACTTGGTTCGGCGGCGCGGCCGCTCGCTCCGCCCCTGCCCCGCGCGGGGAGCCCCTCCTCCCGCCCGCCGCCCGCCCCTCCGAGCGCGGCCGCCCGCGCCGCCGCCACCTCCCCGGGCCCGCGCGCCCCCCGACTCCGGGCGGCTGCTGTCCGCTCCTCCCCTCCTCCCGCGGCCGCCGGGCGCCCGCCGCCCCCAGCCCCAGCCCAGACCCCAGCGGCGGCGCGGGCGGGCGGCTCCGGGGCGCGGGCGCGCGGGCCGGGATCCCGCGGATCGCGCCCCCGGCTCCGGTGCCGCGCGGGAGGCCGCTGGCTCGCGCGGACGGTGCGCACGGAGGGGCCGCGAGCTCGGCGCGACCCCGGAGCCGAATGCAAGCGCGGCGGCGAGCGGAGGCCAAGGCGGCGGCGCGGGGGCCGGGCACGTCCTGCCGCCGGGCGGGGCCGGGGTCGCGGGCTGGCACCGGCCAGCCGCCCTCTGCCTGGCTTAAGCAGGGCCAAGGCCTCAGGGCCCCGAGGGGACGCTGGCTGCTGACCCGACGCCAACGGGGCGTCCATCGCCTCTGGACGCGGGCAGATTCCGTTTTGGGAAAATCTGCTCAACACTTCCTTGACCCGCCGGCGGGTCCTCTGCCCCGGCTGCCCCTACTCCACGCCCCACTAGCACGCAGCAGGCCGGCCGCCTCTGGGCCTTTGCACACGATGGCCCCATGATCGCACTATGAGCTCGTCCTAGACTCTCCCAGGCACAGGACTGTGCTCCTCCTTTACCCACCGCAAGCGGCTTCTGCTGTGCACCCTGAGCTGCCTCGGACTGAGGACGGACCCCTCCCTCCCAGGACCCTCGCTCAGCCCAAAGCACAGCCCCCGCCTGCGGAGTGAGCAGGTACAGCGCCAGTGACACGCAGTCACCGCCAGGCGGCGCGTCCCAGCCGCCCGGGCCCACCTCGCGCCGCAGACCCAGGTTCCTCCGAGCGCGGTCCCCTTCACCTCCGTGTGATCCCGGCCGGAAGCAGCAGCTCTGAGACCTAGCCCAGCCCTGGGCGGCTCGTGAGACAATCTACTGCTTAGGTCGCTGAGCCGGAGCAGCCCAGCGCCAGTTAGGGGGGCCTGTGCTTCTCTGCAGCATTGGATGAAGGGACTTCTTGCCCCCGAAGCAGAAAGGGGGGACCGAATTAGGGTGTCTGCATTCAAGGGCATGTATGAAAAGCTCCCCCTGACCTGGAGGGACAGCATAACACCCCCACCAGCCTACACCCACAGGCACAGCTGGGACTCCCCAAAGCCTTATCTCATCACCTCTGAACTGGTCTGCGGATCACCCCCCTGAGACCAGCTAGGGCACCAGGGTGCTTTCAGTTTGCTTCTAGCCTTGTGTGTTCGTCCTAATTTGCTTAATTTCCTCCTGGCCTGGCATGATTTCTTGTAGATCTGGGCATATGCTAATTTACATAGCTGGCATCCCCGTACTTTCCTCCATGCAAACCAGTTTTCAATTAGCAAGTTTAGCTTTCTCTTTGATGCAAAAGTACTGGCAAGATTTTGTTTTTTCTCACCTAAAACCAGAAAGCTCTGCAGATTAGAGGCTGTTACTATTCAGCTTAAGCCCTTAATTCATGTGCATATATCTGTCTGTGCATGCACGGGGGATCCCAGTGTCTTGATCTTGATGGTCACAGCCGGACTAGGGTTCCGGGACAGGCATCTTCCGGCAGGCTAATGTGGACCTCTTAAAGGGTCCTGTTTGAGGCCGAGTTTTTGCCCCCCTTCCTCCCTTGCGGGCTGGAGACTGGGGACCGTTGGTGGCAGTGTATGGCTTGCATGCTTCCTTTGGGGTATGGAGATGGCCGCATCCACTGACCCCCAGCTCCTGGGAGGGCAGGTTTAGCCATCATCGTCATCTGTGGGTGCTTCAGCAGGCACTTGGGGAGGAATCTCGCCCCACTGCTTCACAGCACTGTCCTTGGAGTGGTTCTACTCAAGTGGGCGTTTGTCACCTGGTGATTTACTCTCTCCCTGGGCATTCCAGGGTCCTAAGTGCACGGTGCCTTGGACAACTGCTCATCTCTGAATGAGAGCTGGAAAATCACAGCTATTCACTTGAATAATTGCAAAGTAGCCCAAACTCCTTGGCTATTTCTTGCCATGGGCTTCACTGGATTCATTTATTACGGTGCCTTGAATGTTTTCCTGTACTGTGTGAATTCTACAGACATGGCCTAGGACAACACACATGCGGAGTGATTTCCACTAATAAATGAATTGATATGAGGGGATGCAGGAGATGGGCTCGTCTCCAACTTCTGTTTCTTGTTTCAATCAGATTCATCTCAAGGTTCCCCCCATACTCTCCACTCAACCCGTAGACACACTAATCCCAGTGGGGATTTAAAGGATTCTCTTAAAGCAGGAAGTTCTCCTTGAGGAAGGGAAATCAGGGGACCGCCCGTCAGCAAAGGGAGGCTTCTGGGCCAGGTAGACCAGCACTACTGGTGAGCCAGTCGACTTTCTGGCAGTGCCTCCCGGCAGGTCAGCCCAGGGCAAGGCACATGGCTAGCACCCCACAAATCAGGCCCATTTTCTGGGAAAGAAGTTTTCTTTAGAAAGGGTTTTATACACAATTAGGATCAAGTTCTTCTAACCAATAAAAACAGCCTTAAGTTTATGTTATTCAGGCGGAAACCAGCAGAAATTTGCAGCTAAGATGAGACTAACAGGAAAGAGGAGATTCACACCAGAAGAAAACACGTGAATTATTGACGTATGCTAATGAGTTCTGAATTGTTTATTACCTTTCAGGAAAAAATAATGTTGGGCGTTAAGGTGAGATCAATGAAATAAGATTCTGCAGACTGTAAAAGGTTTTTCTTTTTATTCCAAGTTATTTTACTCTGTTTTCTAAGTAAAAGCTAATAGAATCCAAAAATATGAGACAGATGAAAATAGTCTCTTCCAGGCCTGCAGAGTTAAAATGAGCCTTCCCCCCACCCCAGTGCAGATGCCACCTCGTCCTTCCCTCCTGAACACCCACCAACTGTGACAGGATGAGGCCCTGGGTGGAGGCCAGGAAAGCCGCCGCCACCGCGGGAGCCTGGTGGCTCCAGGAGGGGGACTGGCAATGTAGTGCCTGACTCAGTGTGGGGTCAGAAGGAGAGGCTGCAGGAGTGGCTCCCCAGGCTTTGGCGAACTTGGGAGATTCTGCAGCTGAGCCCTGGTCTAGAGGCGAGGACTTCAGGGGTGGCCAGCCACAAGGACAGGGTGGACTCAGGCTCGATGGCTTTGAAGCCTCCGTGGGACACCCAGACAGATGCGCTGTCTCAGCTGGAAACTCAGCCAGGAGTTTGGGAGCAGAGTCGTGGTTGGGGTACAGAACTGGGGTCAGCCCACAGTCCCTGGGGTCAGGGATGGGCGTGGGGTCACCGGAGGGGAGCACAGAATGGGGAGGGAGAGGCTGCTCACCAGGTCTCGTGTTGGGGAATGAAGCTCCCTAAAAAACAGAGAGGTAAACCCAGGCTGGCAGTGACCTCAGGCCATCATGGATGGGCAGGAGTGTGCATGCTTGACAAAGGGTACTGTGACCCGTTTTACTATAAATGTGTCGCTCTAGAATATCTAGAAAACAGGAAAGCATAACGAATACAACCCACTCAGAGAAAAAGAATGCGAACTTTTTTTGACATCCCTTCCATATCCTTTCCATAGCATTTTGTCCAGCTCATCTCTCTCTCTCTCTCTCTCTCTCTCTCTCTCTCTCTCTCTATATATATATATATATATATATAAAACGTGATTGTGTATCTTGTATGAGTATCTCACAGAGCACATCCTATCATATTGCATTTTTAAAATATTTTATTGATTTATTTATTTGTGAGCGCGTGCGCTCCTGAGAGCATATGCAGAGGCAGGGAGGGAGGGGCAGAGGGAGAGGCAGAAGCATACTCCCCGCTGAGCAAGGAGCCCAGGACACTGGAATCAGCACTGAGCCAAAAGCAGGTGCTTCACCAACTGAGCCACTCAGGCGCCCTTATAATATTGCATTTTATATTAAATTGTACCTTATAAAGAAAGTTTTAATTCAGCTTGTGCTATATATAATATTAAATCTTATTTTTCACTCAACTTCATAGTACGAGCACTTCTCCACAGTATTAGAAATTCTTAGGGGAGCTGCTTCCCGACAGCACAGCAAATCCCCCACTGAGGATCTTTAAGGGGAAGGAACCTGTGCCCTAATGAGAACTCAGTAGCCCACTGTGGGATGACAGGGATGTTGTAACAGGGTGTTACAAAAATCTACTTACCCATCCATGCATCCATCCACCCATTCACCCATCTCTGACACATGTAATTCCAAATAATGGAGTGGGTAGAGGCATGAGGAACAGAGGGAGACTGTTGGGAATCCAGAGCCCCATATGGTTGTTGGGGGGCTTGTTCCCTGGCTTCTAGGGCAAGGTGAGAACCCTGCTGCTCTCCCTGTGCCCACAGCCTCCATCCTCCCCGGAGCAGGTCCCCAGGTCCACACCCGTGCTGGGTCATGACACACGTACATCTGCTGGGTCAACTCCCCATCCCGGGGACAGCAGGACCTGATGCTCTTCTTTCTTCCCTCCCTCAGTCATTCGGGGGACACTAGCCAGTGCCCAGTGAACAGAAGACCCAGGCCGGATGCCCCATTCCTGAGCCTCTGCCGGATTTGGAGATCTGCCGTATGGCCACGTCCCACACAACAGACAGCGACACAGCCAGGGCTTTGAAGGTCGTGTGCAAGCAGAGGGGAGGGGCTGCCACCCAGCCACATGCCAGATTAGTCTACCCAGAGAGGCGACTTCCTGAGATCAAACCGAGGCAGCCCGGGGAATCGAGCTCCGGAGAATGACAGGGAAAGAGGTAGTTGTCCCTCATAAA